ATTATTTGTTCCCCCCACAATAAATTAATTTTATTTAAATTTAAAACAATCTTATTTTGTATACCAATCCCAGTTTCCTCTCTCTCTCTCTGTCCTCCCATTCCTCCCACCATCCCCTCATCCCACCCCCAACTACACTCCTCAGGGAGGAATGGGTCCTCCCATTGGGGGAATCATCAAAGTGTGTCACATCATTTGGGTCAAGACCTAGGTCCTCTCCCTTGTATCTACGCTGAGAGAGTATACCTTTATAGGGAATGGGCTCCAAAATCCCATTTGTGCACTAGGGATAAACAATGGTTCCACTGCCAAGTGCCCCATAGACTGCCCAACCCCACAATTGACAACCATGTTCAGAGGTCAGGGTTCAGTCCTATGAAGGTTCCCCAGCTGTCACTCTGGAGTTCCAGAACTCCCACTTGCTCAGTTCAGCTGTTTCCCAGCATGGTCTTGACCCATATGCTCATCACTCCTCCCTCTATACAATTGGATTCCAGGAGTTGGGCTCAGTGCTTATCTGTGAATTTCTGTTTCTGCTTCCAGTAGCTATTGGATGAAGGCTAAATGACAGTATTTAAGGTAGTCATCAGTCTCATTATAGGGGAAGAGTATTTAAGGTAGCCTGTTAACTATTGCTTAGATTCTTGTTTAGGGTCATCCTTGTGGATCTCTGGACATTTCCATAGTGCCAGGTTTCTCATTAAGCCCATAATGGCTCCCTCTATTAAGATATCACTTTTCTTGAGGTCCTCTATTCATCCTCAACACAGTCTACTTGATCCCTCATGTTTTCTTCTACCCTTCTCTATCTCCTATCTCCAACTCCCTCTGCCTCCCTCCATGCTCCCAATTTCTTCAGGAGCTCTTGTCCCTTTCCCCTTCTCCAGGTGACTATATATGTCTGTCTTAGGGTCCTCCTTGTTTCTTAGCGTCTCTGGAGGTGTGGATTGTAGGCTGGTAATCATTTGTTCTATGTCTAATATCCATATATAATTGAGTACATACAATGTTTATCTTTTTTTTGTGACTGGAGTACCTCAATCAGGATGGTTTCTTCTAGTTCCAACCATTTGCCTGTGAATTTCAAGATTTCATTGTTTTGTTTTGTTTTGTTTTTCTTCCCCAGCTGAGTAGTGTAAACATTACTCCATTGTGTAAACATACCACATTTTCTTTATCCATTCTTCAGTTGAGGGGATTCTAGGATGCTTCCAGGTTCTGACCATTACAAGTAATGCTGCTATAAACATAGTTGAACAGATGTTCTTGTGGTATGAATGTGAATCCTTTGGGGATATGCCTAAGAGTGGAATTGTTGGGTCTTTAGGTAGTATGATTCCCATTTTCCTGAGAAACCCCTTCATTCTTTAAACAATCCAGAAACAGCAACCAAGTTTAAAACATCCAAGAAAAGATGAGAATCTGCTGCTGCTCCCCAAGACCTCCACCTTTGAGTATGGGGATGATGGATGAGCACAACATTGGAAACAATCAGGCAATAGTTGCCAAGAAATGCATCATTTCCTGTTCAGCTGTTCAGCTGTTTTCCTGGTGGTAGCTGGATTCAGAATCTTAATTTTATCTGGATGCTCACTCACACTTGTTAGAGCTGAACTTATAGCTCATATCCCATGGTTCCTGAAAAATACCAATATCCTTCAATTTGTATATCACTAAACATTTTCCTGGACTTGTGGCATTTTGTGGACTTCACATGAATTTGTAATAACTTAAGAGTAAGTGCTTGTGCTATGTTATAGGGAGCATATCCAAAACATGAATGCAGAATTGTATGCCTTAATTAATTAATTAATTAATATAGTATTTATTTATTTTATACTTGGACGATAGTTTCCCCTCCTCCTCTCTTCCCAGTCCCTTCCACCTCCCCTCTGCACCCCACCCCTGCATTCCATTCCTCCTTTGTTTCTATTTAGTAAGGTACAGTTCTGCTTTGGAATTAACAAAATATGGCATATCTTGTTCCAGTAGGACTAAACACATCCCTTGTATTAAGGCTGGGCAAGACAAACCAATATGAAAAATAGGGTCCAAAATACCTGCAAAAGGGTGATGGATAACATCATCTCCCAGTGTAAGGAGTCCTACAAGATGACTAAGCTACACAATTGTAGCATAAATACAGAGGGCCTAGGTCAGTTTCATTCAGGGTCCCTGGTTAATTGTTCAGTCTCTATGAGCTCCTATGAGGCCATGTTAGTTGGTTCCATGTGTTTTCTTGTGGTGTCCTTGACTCCACTGGGACCTACAATCCTTTCTTTCCCTCTTCTACAGAATTTCCCAAGTCTCACCTAATATTTAGCTGTGGGAATCTGCATCTGTTTCCATAAGTTTTTGGAAAAAGCCCCTCTGAAGACTTCTGGGCTGCATGCCATTGGGCATCATGTCATTAATTTTTTTTCCAGTTATGTTTGGTTCTATCCTAGGGCCATCCAGATACTGAATCCTGGTGCACTAGGCAGTGTCAAGGTTGGGCTCCCTCTCCTGTAATGGGTCTGAGGCTAGACCAGTCATTGGTTGGCCCCTTCCATAATCTTTGTGCTGCCCTTAACCCAGCATATCCCTTAGGCAGGACAGACTGTAGGTCAAAATTATGTGTCTGACTTGGTTTCCCAGTCTCTCCACTGGTAGTCTTGCCTGGTCATAGGAGAAGACCAGTTCAGGCTATGTGTTCCTTATTGCTAGGAGTCTTAGCAGGGGTGATCCTTGGAGATTCTTGTGAGTTTTCCTTGCAGTAGGTTACTGCCTCATCATGAAACAACCCCCCTTCCAGTATTCTCTTTCAATATTCTACACCTCCACTTGATGCCCACCTTATAACTTATGTTCCCATTCCCATCTTCCCTTAATCCACCAGTGAAATTTCTTTTATTTACCCTTCCCAGTGATATACAAGTGTACACTCTTGAGCTCTCCTTGTTTCCTAACCTCTCTGGGTCTGTGAATTGTAGCATGGTTATTCTTTACTTTACAGCTACTAGCTACTTATAAGTAAGTATATGCCATGCTGGTCTTTCTGGGTCTGGGTTACTTCACTCAGGATGATTTTTTTAGTCCTATCCTTTTGCCTTCAAATTTCATGATGTCATTGTTTTTAACAGCTAAATTAAAAACAGCCCCATTGTGAAAATGTACGACATTTTCTTTATCCATTCTTCAGTTGGGGGATATCTATGTTGGTTTTAAATTCTGCCTGATATGAATAAAGCTACTGTGAATATAGTTGAGCAACTGTCCTTGTGGTATGCCTGAGTAACCTTTGGATATATTCCTAAGAGTGATATAGCTGGGTCTTGAGGTATATAGATGGCCAACTTTTTGAGAAGGAGAATATTTCTTCTATTTTAAAACATTGTTCTTACTTATTTTTAATTATGTTGATAAGTGCACACAGGACTATTGCATGTATATATGCAGCTCCTCTGCAGTGTATGAGAGAGTATCCTCTCCCCTGGAGTTGGAGTTACAAGTGCCTGTGACCACCCTACATTATTTTGGAAGCCAAACTGGGGCCCCATACATATCTTTGCATAATCCTAATGATGAGGCTTCTCTCTAGACACAGTATCTCACCTCTTACAATGTTGATGGCCTCCTCTCTCTATTTTTTATTGCACACCAACATCTAAGACTATTTTTAAATAATAGTATACATTTGCATTTATGCTTCTCATTCAAATACTGTAAATGAATACCACCCCTTCATATTGGTCTAAATAGATATGGAAGTTTATGTCATCTTACAGGATGAATTTAATGTAAGTTCTTAATATGAATTTATATTATAATATAAATACAACTGATGAACTTATAGATATGTAAAGATAGAGACATCATGTGTATGAGAAAAAGATGGAGTCAGAGAGAGTACTGGTACATATATAGCATAGCAAAAATGAAATTTAGTCTCCTCAGTTCTTTAAAATGTTGCAACTCACTGTTAGCATAGTGAGTGCACATCATTGTAATGATAACTCTATCTACCAGCCACCTGAGTTCCTCCATTAATTTAGTATGTATGTATATAAATATGTATGTGTGTATAGCAGTAACTAAGGAAGAGGACAAGAATTTGAGAGGGGATAGAGGGGACATGCGATGTTGAGGAGAGGAGAGACAGGGGTTGAAATGATCTAAATATTGTGCTCATGTTTGAAATCATAAAAAATAGTTTAAAAGTAGCAAAGAAATATAGGCAAGTAATGAATGCCACGTAAGGAGGAATTAGCCTCTGCCAGGCATGAGTCCTTAAATTGGCTATCAACACAAAGTGGTCAACCCTGAAACCATATACATACAAGAAAACTGGATCCAGGAGGTTGTGTTTTTATATATATGTATAGTCACACTTACATAGGAAGAGAGAAAGAAGTATTTTTGTAAATTAGTAAGTTTTAACAAAATCATATTATTTTTGCATAATTCCAAGTTTATTTATTTGCTTTAGAAATCACTAGTTGCAATTATCATACAAACATTCTGAAGCAAATTTGTATTTTATTAACAACTATTATTCGATATTTTACTATGAATCTCATGGCCTTTTGCCTCACATCTAGCTTTCCTGGTGGATACATGGCATCCCCCTGACTCTGCTTTCTTTCTCTCTCTATCTGTATTTGGATTTCCCACCTAGCTGTATTCTGCCTGGCCATTGGTCAAAACAACTTTATTCAACAACCAATAGAAGCAACACATTTTTGCACCATGCAGAAAGACATCACAATCCGTCCTGTAAACAACTCTCTTGGTAAAGTGTATTGTGTTTAGAGAAACATTTCTAAACACAGTGAGAGTCTCAAAGTGCCTCATCTTCACATGGCATATGTGCTCTCTCATAGAGCCCTCAGTAGAGGAAGCAGGTTCAGGGCAACAGCAGAGATAGCCCTTGTTCTTGCTCTTAATCTTCAGAAAACAATATAAATTATTACTGATGTTTTTAAAATTGCATTATGTAAGAACACAAGAATAAGAGTGTGGTAACTTGAGCATCATTTTTATTTATGAGTTTTCTCCATAGGAAATTTCACTTTGCCAGAAGAATGCCAGTTCTTCCTTTTTGGACATTCTCAGGTCTGCATTGTGGTCTGAGATTTACCCAAGCCCTTCCTTTACTGCTACTTTCATTTACAGTGAAAGCATTTTGATAGTGTAAGTGAAAGCCTGAATTCCTACTCACACTTATTTCCCTTCATTTATTAAGGGAATTATAGTACAACTTGTATATAAAATTTCATTTTATTATAAGCAATGTGACAGGAATGAATATTTTCTAAAGAGATGCTTATGCATCTTCCTTTGGCTATAATATTATTGAAATGATGCATAAAAAAAGGGATATCCTCAGGAGCATCATGCTTTAAAAACTTTTGAGTTTGTTTCCTGAAACTGGTGATGGGTGGGAATATACCTTGATTGGAACTGCTTGTCTAGCTATGCATCTCTTGCCCTCTAATAGGAAGCATAAGCTTCCTATTAGAAGAAAGAGGGTGTACTTGGGGTCACTGTACTTTGCTGCTCTTTTCAATATGTTCACATTGAAAGTATCTCCTTTTCACCTTTTAGTCATGAATTTTGTCTGTTAATTGCACTACTCAGGACAGGTGGTGAATCTGGCATGTTTGGGGGCTTACAGGGCCTAAGCATACACCCTAAATGCAGTAATGTTGCCATTTTCTTTTAAAATAACTTGAAGACAACAAATAGAGTCAAGAATGACAGAGAAGCAAGGTCAAAGAGCATTTAGAATGACTCAGATGACACCTTCTAGACCACAAAGGTGCCAGTATTAAACACATTTCCTCTTAATAAGGTAGCAAGCAGTTACTGTCACAATTGATAAACTGAGCAAACACACTAGTAGTGCTGATTATTAAAATATACAAGAAAACAAACATAAAGTACAGAAGAGAGTCTGGGTCACTGCCTATCACTGTGGTTGCCTCTAAGATATTTAGCAAATAGCAAAGGTCCAAGTATATGATAGAGGGACATGAGTATGTGACCAGTAACAACAAAACAAACACTCCAATCTGAAACAGCATAAGAGAATTTATTCTGGAGCCAAATATGAATGCGTGTGGCATGGGAACTTGGATTCAGGATAACTCAAATATCTTGTCAGAATATGATTATTGTTACAAGATCAAGTTTGTATTTTTATAAGAGAACAGACATTCATAAACCAAACCACTTTTTGAATGCATTTGTGGGAACAGGAGGCAGACATGCTAATATAAGGCAGGAAAACTCTGCTGTGGCATTAGGTGCTGTCTGATGACATGCTTAGCCTTTGTGTTGGTAGAAACTTGGCTTCAGTCTGTATATTCCCAAATGATTTTGCCTGATAACCACACAGATGTCAAATCACACTCAGAGGCAGCCAACAAATGGCTCCTTAGGTAGTGGTGGCACATGCCTTTAATCCCAGCCCTTGGTAGGCAGAGGCAGGTGGATCTCTGTGAATCTGAGGCCAACCTGGTCTACAGAGTGAGTTTCCAGGACAGTCAGGGCTACATAGAGAAACTCTGCCTAGGGGATAAAAGAGGAGCTGAGGTAGCCCAATAAATCTTACATCTAACATGTAACACTCCATTTTTCAATAGTCAGCCTTGAGTGTTCAACACATAGTTGACATTTTCTCATCTGTGAACTCCAGTTTACAAATTCTTTGATAGTGTAAGTGCAAGCCTGACCTATATAAGAAGAATCTGAACATGAGCCTGGGGACAGATAGCCAGTAAGCAGAGTTCTTCAGTGTTCTCTTCTTCAGTTACTGCTTCTGTCCTTGCAATGATAGCGACAGTTTCTTCAGTGATGAATCTGGTCATGTAAGACAAATAAACCCTTTCCTCTCCTAAGTTATTTTGGGTCATGGCATTTCACCATAGCAACAGAAAAGTAAGTAATACAGAGGAATGTTTCAGAATGTTGGAGTGGGCAAGGATGTTTAAGTACATTAAAAATTGGTAATATAATTATATTTAATGAAATAAACCTCCTCATAGCAAAATAGCTGATCAGTTGTGCAAATAAACACTGTCCAGGAAGGAAAATGTTTGCCAACTGCACATCTGACAAGAAGTTGCCATCCAAGATACATAAGGAATTCAGACATATAGAAAATCCCCAAATAACCCAGGTATAATGAGCAATGTACAGTGGTAGATTTCTCGAAAGATGCTGTATGTGTTCAAGAAATACATACAACAATGTTTAAGATAACACGTCAGTCTCTTTGTTTGTTCTTCCTTCCTTCCTTCCTTCCTTCCTTCCTTCCTTCCTTCCTTCCTTCCTTCCTTCTTTTCTGTCTTCTTTCTTCCTTTATTTTGCAAAAATTACTTTTTACTTTGATAATGAACATTTGTTCATTTTCAGTTAATGATTTCTTGATGTTCCACTTTAGAAGTATTTACTTTTACCAATTTCAAATATATTTTACCTTTTCTTCTGTTTTATACCTATACTTACATCATTTATGCCTCTAAAAATGATTCAGCGATTTCCAATGGATGAGGTTTATTTTTTGCCAAATTATTCTAAAGCATCACATATTCTTCATTTGAAAATATGACTAATATAATTTTATTGTGTTTCTATAACTAAAAGAAAGGTGCAATTGGATTTTTTAATTTCATGTGTATGTATGTGCATTTGTATGTGGTGTGTGGGGGGGCATGTGTTCATGTATGTGTATGAAAATTAAGAGTCAACTTTGTGGAGTCAATTTTAATTTTGTGCCTTTATATTAATTCTGGGGCTCGAACTCAAGTCCCCAGGTTGGGTAGCAAGTGTTTTTACATGCTAGGCCATCTCACCAGCCCTTAATTTAATTTTTTTTTTGAGCACACATTTAATGTTTTCAAAATGCAATTTGACCATCATATATTGACCACACAAGTTAAGGGCTATCATTGTTCATTAAAATTGGTTCATTGATCCAAAGAGATAACGTCATATCAACTCAATTTTAAGATGTTATAAATTTCCTGTAAAATATAAACAAATACATAGTGAAATTATTACCACCTGTAAGTACTAACAAACTGTTAGGGTGATCACTGGTGCAGACCATGAGATGCTGTAGTCAGTATTTCCATTTGCACTTCCTGTAACATCCGTGATAGACAGGAAGACAAGTGTGCCTCCTGTCACCCTTGGATTTTGCTAGGAAGTCTGTCAGCATTTTGCCATTCAGTGTACAGGAGTTTCAAAGGCAGCTATTTTACAAATAAAGGGATAAACCTTCTCAGAGTATGAGCAATTAGAGACAGGAGAGGTGACTGAAAAGTCCCCAGAGGATTAAGGACATCAGAGTAGAGACTGTATGTCAGTGGGTTGTGAGCCTGGATCCTTGTCCTCAGTAGCCCCTTTCTCTACTGCTCCCATCAGCCAGTGCTGTGTTTCCTACTCTCATGTCTCTACTTGAGGTGGCTGCTTGCATTTGAATGTAATTTATTTCAAGAACAGAACTAAAAGTTCTCTTGCTGGTACTGTCTGTACATGTAAGGTGTATAGTAAATTTGTCTCAACTGTCCAAGTGTGGGTAAATTCTAGTTAGCCCTTCATTTATCAGTTCTTCTCAAAGTGAAACTGGATGATATAGTAAGATAAATCAAGACAAAGAATGACTTATATGAATTTCATGCCCTTTACTTTCAGCACTGCATAATCCCAGCTTTTGTCCCTGAGTATTATTGGGGAAAAAAATCTGTTGAGGTTCACCTAGTTTAAAATGAGACATCACAGTGCAAACATGTCTCCAATGGTTCAAAGTGGAAACCCTGCTCCACAAATGGGTGAAATCAGTGCGGTATCTAGTATTAGGTGTAGCTGAGGAGGTGAAGTGAGATCTGGAAGCTAACAAAGTGTTTGGAAGCACAGGCTTAAAATCCTGATCAGCTCTGAGACTTTGGTTCTTGCTTGAGCTCAGTTTACCAACTTCTCAAGCTCTATCTGTCTGCTCTCCCCCACCCGTCTCTCTGTTTTACCCACCCTTGTCTCTCTTCTCTTCTAGCCCTGTCCCTCTGCTCTCCCCAACCCTTGTCCCTCTTCTCTCCAAAATCCTTTCTGCTCTCTCCACCCCTGTCTCTCTGCTCTTCTATCTCTGTCCCTCTGCTCTCCCCACTCATGTCTTTCTCTTCATAGTGAATAGAGCATGGCTAATGAAGTTCTTTCAAATCAATCTGTCTTCTCACTCCTGTTTTCGTGTGATTTGCATGACTTCCTTTTGTCTGTATTGCAGTCTCTGCTGTAAGTTTTTGTCTAGCCACTACATTTGGTTCTATTTGCTTCCTGGCAAGTGGGAAATGTGGAAATATTGTTCACAGGAGATATTAACCAATGATTGGCCAAAGTTGGCTGATGAATATCTCATCTCATTGGCTACAAGTATGGAATAACTGGAAGACATTTATTAAATATTTACTATCAGAATCTGTACCACTTATGCTTTAATATGATTTAGGAGATGATGTGGATGCTGATATATGTATATAAGGGCTGTACCTGAACATCTAGATGGTACTGATGCAGATGGACCATAGACAAAATGTAGACTCTCAGATTCGATGCATATAGACTGTGGTCTTTAGTTCTTTTCATTGTTAATACACAGCATCCTTAGTGTTCGAAGTTATAGTGTGGATCCTGGGAGATCAGATTTCTTTTAACTGGATTCAGATAATGAGAAAGCAGAAGGACTGAAAATAGGAAAGAATATGGTTCACATTTTCCTTGCTAAGCGACATTGAACCAAATTATCAGAAAGTATTAGCAAATGCTGAACATGTATCATCTTCTTATTTCACAGCAGTATTTTAAAATACGGAAAATTATTCTTAAGAAAATTTTGTTGTCTAACACAAGAATATTTAAAACATTTTAGCCAAATATTTAAAATATGCACAAAACACACATATAGCAACTACATTCTAACTTTCAGTCCTCAAGAAATGTTTTAATTGCTTGGCAACAGTCCTACTCTTGACAGGATTGAGATCAGAATGCTTTAAAAGATGATTATTTTGACAGGACTCCCCTTCTCTCTTACTGGCTGTGCAAATGTCCATTGCAATCTGCCTAAGAGTTTCAGAAAGGACACTATAATTAGGATGCATCATAGACCTCCTCTACGAGTCCTTCATGATGAATTCATCCTGCTGACATCCCTGCTAACCCCAGTAATCACCCAAAACCCATGTTTCTAGCTTATGTCTCATTCATCTGTGTGAAATGCTTTTCTCTACTCTCTATGGCAGCTTCTCCAACAACCCTTCTACTGCTGAGATGGTTATGGAACCCTGCCCCTATTAATGTCCTGTCAAGTTCCTCCCTTGCCTCTTCAACTCCAGCAGGAATCTATTTGTCTTAATGTAACATTGCATGGCATAATAAAACTGTAATCTCCTAAGAGGGAAGTCACACCTTACTCCTTCTCAGAGTGCATTGTTGCTCTTGTTTCCCCTAAGTTCTTCTTGTAAGTTTATTGCATCACCTGCTACCTCACCATGATGATGGACATTACTTAAAAGTGTTTCATTTCTAATAATATTTGTACGCTCTCTTATTCTCCCTAACTCTCTTTCTCCTTCCTACTCACCTTCTCTTGCTCTCTTAGTCTCTCCCTCCCCCCATTCGTGTGTGTGTGTGTGTGTGTGTGTGTATCTGAGAACATGCATAACATCTGCAATCTGAGCTCAATTCTAACAGCCTTCAGTTCCCTCCCATTGGTTTAAAAAAGTACACATGCCTACTAATTATTCACAGTTAACATTTATAACCATATGGACTCATAAAGTAGGGCTCATAAGTTCTACTTTTACTATCCTTGTAATTTCATTTCCCAGACCTTGTTTTTCATGTATTACTCTTCATATTTCCAAAAATCCCAAGGAGTTCTGATAAACTAGAAAAGAATTTCTGCAATGTTCTCATACCAAACATGCCAACATGTCTTCCTACTTCCCTAAATTGAGTTTTATCTTGAATTTGAATGTATCTCCATTGGAGTTTTAGTACCCAGCTTCTTGTATACTCAAACTGCTGTGTTGATGGTTATTATTCAGTGTAAGCTATCATCCATTTTCATGTCTACTTTTGTATTACCATCAATGTGTGTAATGGCACAATTTGTATTCAATTTGCTTTTATTTTAGCTCATATTAATGTTTTCCACTAGTGGGGGGTTGACACTGGGATATTATATATTCAGGCCAGTGACATCACTAAATCTCTTTATACTCTCTGAGATGAAGATTCGGTAGAAACCTTTCAGTAGAACTTTGAGCCTAAGTTTTTTGATCCAGATTATCTAACTCACTCTATAAACCAAGCTAACCTTGAACTTTGAATCATTTGGTGTCAGCCTATTGACCAGCTTGGATTATACATCTATATCAACAAGCACCGACTTATTATTAATAAAATCTTTTCAAATTTATTGCTTGAATACGCTTAACCATCCAGCTAAAATTGTCTGTGCTGTGTTGACTTTTGATATTATAATTGTTGCTACTATTATTTGCATGTGTGTATGTGTGATATGTATGTGTGTATGCAGGAGCACTTGTGCCATAGTATATTCATAGAAGTCATAGGAATACTTTGGGAAGTCTGTATTCTTCAGTGATGCATTGCTATATTTCCTGATATTTCTTAAATACTTTTAATCACAGGTCAGGCATGTTGACATCCCAGTGTTGGACACCATGTCTTTCATTTCCTTGGCCCCGCTAATAACAAGCCATGCTTTGCATTTCCTCTCTACTCTGTCAGCAATTGTTTGTTTCTTTTGATCATACTTTTTGTGAGTTGCTTTAAACCAGAAGAAAGAATCTTTTTAATTGTTATCAGAGATCAAAGCCAGCCAATAGAGCTCTTATAGGTCTCCTTTGAAAGTAGCTATGTTATCAACTAAAAATTGTTTTGAAGCAAGTCAGTGTTATCAAATGCTTGGCCTAGCTAGTATCATGTGATGTTTCACTAAAGAAAAGATCTACACCATCTGTTCTGCTCTCTAACACACCATCATAGGTCTTAACCTCTGGCTTCTGTTTTACCATCTTGTGTCTTCGTACTCCTTGGATTTGAAATTAGCCCATGGGCTGAGCAATGCTAAAATGAAGACACAAAAATCTGAAATGCTCTAAATCCAAGATATTATGATTGATTTCTTTAAAGATATGCACCCATACAATGAAACTATAAAGGCTGTTACTGTGCAGCACATGCTGGCCTTGAATTTAGAGAAATCACCCTGACTCTGCATTTAAATGCTAAGATTATAGATGTGTGCTGTGACACCTGAATCCAAAGTATTTTTATGTAGAATGCAGAAAGTCCATACTGGTCATTTCATATGTAAAAGCTTTAAAATATAGTATCATTTATGAACAATAGAGCAACCACCAATCAGTGCAACACACATATGTAAGTCTAATATGGAATAGTTTACCAATATATTTCATCACGTGTATGACAACCTGGGTCCCATGACTTCAAACCTGCAATAAATTTATAAGGATTTTCTCAGGGGTTCAAGAGAAATCACCTTTAAGGCATACTTTGAATTAAAAAATGCCATGGATCTGTTACAACTTGAGATTCCATTTTAAGTGGCAGTGTTTTCTCTGCATGAGTGAAGTTCTGTTATTATAAAGACTTTCAGAACTATTTGTGGTCATATTGATCTGCACTTACAGGATCTGGGGAAAAGCATCTCCATGGGTAGACACTTAATTCCTGCTGATAGTAATCTTCCATAAAACTGCAATCAAACACCTATTTTTCATCCTTTAAAGGTATATAGCCTTTAAAGGAAATGGGATTTGTGCATGTAGTTCACCGAGTTTGTTGTTAGACTCTTCATATCCTGTCCCATCCTCTAGTATAAACTTGTTAGCTTGAGCACACTCAACCTGTTATCATTTGTAAAATGGGTCAACAAAGCTAGCTTGCAGATGCATTGTGAGCAGGCTATAGGCAGCAGAAATAAAGTCCTGGCAGGGGAGCCACTGAGGACCACATGTTGCATGTCTTTAGTAACACCAATATTTATTTATGTATGTAATTGCTCTGTATAATTTATATGGTATCTTAAATTCCCTGATCTTGATTTTTGAATATTTTATGAGAATGATATGTGCTTTCCATGCTGTATTGTGATCATAACCACAAATAAATTTTAAAAACACACAATATATGCTTAAAGTTAGAATTGGCTTGTGATAGACTTCTCAGTCCTAGTAAAAATTAGTTACCAAGAGGCTCATTTTTTTGAGTCAATCCAATCAGGTTTTCAGACAAAGTTCTAGCAAGTTGTGAAGATCTGTATTTGATGGCCAACAACTCTATGGGTGAATGGTCTGTGATCTACACTTCTCACTTTTCTATTCACTGCATTCTTCAGCTGAGTGAGTCAGCCAGACCTGTTGCTGCAGTTTAAATGTTTTCTCCACTCTCTCTCTACTACATGTTGTGTTCCACACTTCCACTCAGTACCATTGATTTTGCTCAGATATACATTTGATTAATTGTTATAATCTTATTTTAATAGCAAGAGATCAGTGGCTTTGTTTCATCCATTATTAACCCCCAATAAAGGCTTGAGTATTCCATTGATATTCACTAGGTGAGTAGGTAAAAATAAAATGGTGGATTTCCTGTGTACCCACTGTTGTCTCATTCAATATAGGTGGAGACCGAGCTCATTTCCCTCAATAAGAAAACAAGGAGAGAAGATGAAAACCCTATGTTCTACCCTAGTAGGGTATCAGGCTCATCCCAGTCTCATTTCCTTGGTGTCTGTGTCTAGAGCCATCTAGCGATGGCTGATTGAGAGTAGCAGAGGGACCACAAAGGTCACTTCTTTGTACAAAGGCAAATCTTACCACATATTTTCAGTTTGGAATCAAACCAGTGTTTGGTCCATGCAATACCAGTGCTGTACCATCAAGCTTCATTGATTTCCTATTATCTTTATTTTGTAATTCATATACAAGTAAAATTTTACCAGGAGAAATGGACAGTGACAGTGAATGCAGGCAGTGTTGTTGATAGAATGGAAACTGGCCTTTAGCAGAATTTATGTCACCTGAAGCAACATGGCAGCAGGTTGTCTAAGCTGATAAAGACCCTGCAGATAAAGCACTATGAATAACCTGTGGTCTGTTAACACCAGCATTTGTGTTTTCTACCTTACATTTTAAGTTGTAGTGCTGTATATGTAGCTGTTATGATTGATCAAGATGAGGAGCTGCTGAGATGCCTCAAACATTAACAGCTCTTGTTCCTTTGGCAAAGAACCAGATTTTGTTCTTAGAGTACTCATGAGGAGTCCACAGCCATATAGAACTCTAACTCCAGGAGATCTAATGCCTTCCTCTTGCCTCTATGGGTACTGACACAAGTACACACACACACACACACACACACACACACACACACACACGGCTGGAGGTGAGGAGACAAAGAGATAGAGAGTCAGGGAGAAACAGAGAAACCGGCAAATTTAGCAAGCCTGAGATGACACTAAAAGGCCAACAAATCTAAACTCTGAGGATCTTCTTATGCTTCTATATCTGTCCATATTATAGATGCTATTATGTATCAGCAACTTTATAAACTGTGAAAACTTTCCCAGTTCTCAGGAATTTTCACCCAGTGGCAGATGAAATCTTCCTGATTTCAAATACTCAGTTAT